GGGCCGGAGCGCTGGGCGTCAGAGCGCTGAGCGGGGTCGTGGGGGCGGCGGGGAGAAGAGGGAGGCAGAGGAGGGTGGGCCCATGGCGGGGCAGCAGTTTCAGTACGATGACAGCGGGAACACCTTCTTCTACTTCCTCACCTCCTTCGTGGGGCTCATCGTGATCCCGGCCACATACTACCTCTGGCCCCGAGACCAGAATGCCGGTAAGTTCCTCCTGCAGCTGCCCGCGGACCTGCTCAGGCCCCGCCGGCCCCTCCGGGCCGCGCCGCTCCCGCCAGCTCGGGCCCAGCCCAGCTCGCCGCGTCCCGGTGATACCGCCCGCGCGGCCCGGTCTGGCGTCCAGGCGTCCGCCGCTCGCGGGCCCCGGGCGCGGCGGTGTTCATCTCGGTGCCCCTCCGGGCTCCTCTCCACCAGCCTTCATTGTCCTCCTACAGTGGGGAGTTTCGCTTCTCCCCCTCTCCCATTGTTCTGGACACTCGGCAGCCTCCTCCTGTCTCTTTGTCTTCTCGGCCTCTGGTTTTATTGTGTATTTTTCTTTATGGAGGGAGCAGGATGGGAATGGGGCGTGAGAGAAGAGTTGGCAAAGGCGGTAGCCGAAGGTGCAGGCACAACTCTCAGTCCCCCAGCCACGTTCCTCTGCCCCCACCCCCGTTCCTCTCCCCCACCCCGGTTTCCCAGCTGCAGCTGTCGTTACAGATGTTTTAGGTGCCGTCTGAGCTGGGTGGCATGTTTAGGATTCCAGCGGAGCTCACCAGCCGTCCCTCCCCCGTCCCTTTCCCCCCTCGCTTTTCCATTTGTTAACTCATACTTGTGGTGGTTATTCATTCCCCTTAGCAAAAATAGGCTTTCCTCTATTTCCCTTTCTTTTGGCGTTTCCTGTTTGTGGCGGAAAAAGTGCGAGTGCGAAGGATTAAGGCTTGGAGGTAGTTTGTCTTGTAGGTAGTTATGAGGTAGCTGGTTCATTTGCTTTTAGTTGCAAATCTTTTCACATTAAATGACCATTGGATTAGAACACAGAATATAGATTCTTGTCAAGGTATTTTATGTGTGGGCAATGCGTGCATTCCATTTGTTGCACTCTCCTAGGGCATATGGCAGGTGCTATTCTTAATGCAGATGGAACTGTAAGGCCCTAATAGGTTATTTATGGAAGCGTTAACAGTGACTAGTAGGTTTTGAGTACTAACATTTAGGGAAAGTTTCTACTTCACAAGAGCTTTGCTAACTTGATTAAATTTTCCCTTAAGTTGGGTGTGGTGGAGGTCTAGGTTGTCCAGGTTATATACTGTACTTTGGGGTAAATGTTAACACAAACATTTGAATATGTCCAGAACTTATGCTTTAAGGCTGATTATTGCTTTCCAAAATTCTTTGAGTTATAGAAGTTAAAATTGAATGTAGGATAAATAATAGCAAAGGGTTCCATTTTTTTTGTACATTTAGCAGTAATTAAAATATCCTGTAGGTGCAGAATACTGATCAAAGTTACCAGTTTTCTCATTCAGTGGGTAGTTTATTAAAATTGGATTTTGATCTTTTGTGCCTTTTCTTTCCTAAGTTTATTTAAATTTCTGGGTTCTTTGGACAGTAGTTGTGTATAAGTGACAAAGTCTATTGTTTCCCTTTGCAAATCCTAGGCCATTTTGGTAATTTTATTTCAATTAAAAAGAGTTCATTTTTCAGTATAGAGTTTATTTTCACTTATCACCCATTTGTATGTGTAGTTGGTTGTGTGGAAGACGAAAGGGTATTGGGAGAGTAGGTAGGTTTGGTTTGAATGTGCGGCGGTGGGTGAACCTATAGGTTCATCTCACTTAAGCAATGTGCAAGAAGCTGCCCGGATTTCAGAAATTAGTCATTTTAGTCTCCATTGAATTTTTGAAATTTGAAAGTTATGTATATATATAATTATTATTTTTAAAATATATTTTTATTGATTTCAGAGAGGAAGGAAGAGGGAGAGAGAGATAGAAACATCAATGATGAGAGAGAATCATTGATTGGCTGCCTCCTGCATGGGATTGAGCCTGCAACCTAGGCATGTGCCCTTGACTGGAATCGAACCTGGGACCCTTCAGTCTGCAGGCTGATGCTCTATCCACTGAGCCAAACCAGCTAAGGCTTGAAAGTTATATTTTCATAATGGGTTTTATATGATAAAATTTGCCTGATAACATATCATAGGCAGGTCATACTTGAGCCCCTTCATATAGTTTGGTCTTTGGAAAAGTGGTAGGGAATTAATATTGACTAAGTCAATATGGACTTCAAATGTTACTTTATTTAATCCTCAAAAATATACAATGAAGTAGGTACTATTATTTTTTTAAATATATTTTATTGATTTTTTTACAGAGAGGAAGGGAGAAGGATAGAGTTAGAAACATTGATGAGAGAGAAACATCGATCAGCTGCCTCCTGCACACTCCCTACTGGGGATGTGCCCACAACCAAGGGACATGCCCTTGACCAGAATCGAACCTGGGACCCTTTGAGTCCGCAGCCGATGCTCTATCCACTGAGCCAAACCGGTTAGGGCAGTAGGTACTATTATTATCAC